TAAGATTCATGCTCCTTCGATAGAAAGTAAGACGAAAAACAGTGCACCAACGCCTATTTAATTCGTCCCATATTCCGGGGAAACATTGAAAAATGACGACACCTCCACCCAAATGTTTTGCAAAAGCCTTAAAAACTTGAAATCAGCCACGCAATATGCTAATAAATGCAGAAAACAGCAACAAATACATGTTTTACTCGCCACTACCCTCCCGGAACCCCCGCACTCCGTCCCGACAATTCCGCACTATAAACAAAGCCGGCGATATGAAACTAGCATGGCCCATCACTAAAGTACTTTTAGGGATATTTACTTTTCGTTTTTGATGCTTTATGCTTACAAAATGTTTGATAAAGTACTATAAAACCATTGTATGTCGGTAACTTTTTGTCAATTTTCCACGACTCATTACTTTGAAAAATTGCAAAAATTACATCCACGCTAGGATTAAGACATCCACGCTAGATTATGTACACTTCACTATGGCGAATTGAAAGCGACCAGGGGCGATAGTCGCATTTGTCTCATGTTGGCGGAAATCAGTAAGTTCCAACATATGCGCAACATTTTCTATATTTGGGTACGATGACGTCGTCATCGTACCCATTTTTGGAAGATGCGTACCCATCTATGGAAAATCCTTCCAATCAGGGATGCGGAGCCGGAGCCGGAGCCGGAGCCGGAGCCGGAGCCGGAGCCGTGAAACAATATAGCCCGGAGCCGGAGCCGGAGCCGGAGTCGTCAAAAAAGGGGACGACTCCGGCTCCTTTTCTTAAGAGGAAACATAAATAATATAAATGGGAAAGGCAATGGGAACGTGTTGTTTTTATATCAAAATTGGTTACACATGTGTTTCGGGAATAATCCCTTGATCACACCATATAAAAGTCGCTATATCCAAATACAATCGAGGTCGAAATTTGCATATAGCTACTTTTATATGGTGTGATCAAGGGATTATTCCCGAAACACATGTATAACCAATTTTAATATAAAAACAACACGTTCCCATTGCCTTTCCCATTTATATCAATACGTATATGTAATAATAATAAAAACATAGATAACAGTAGAACAGGAAACAATGATTTAATAATAATAATAATAATAATGTTTATAAGGCGTCACATATCAGCGACAAACATGCTTTCATACTCATACAGCTCAGGTATTCACAGTAAGCAAACGCAATAGCTTCCGCGACATCTCACATGTGGAGCTCAAAAGGCCTGCTAGGGAGTCTCTGAGACCATTTTCGGGTCGCGGTGCAGTGATGATGTCTGGATCGATATGTCCGGCAACAATATCCATTATCTCATTTAACCCGGTTCCACACATCTGGAATACAATTTGTGCGAAAGATCCGGGAAGTGCTGTGGAGTTACACCCGAGAACAGCGACAGAGAGTAGACCGCTGACCAGGCGATCCGAGCTATTCATCGCTGAATAGAATGTCTTCAGCGTCCGACTGCGTAAAACCTCGTGAACTTGAGGGACGTCAGCAGCCTCCAAAAGCAGCGTATGGTGGGCAAAACGTGGTAATCCCAGGGCAGCTTTCAGACACGAAGATTGCAATGCTTCTAGTCGAATGACATCAGTTGGGCTCAGAGGTGCTACATCGCAGCCAAATACAAGGGCTGGTACCACTACCGCTTTCCACAAGAAAATCTTGTCCTTTGGCGATAGACGTCTGGACAATATTCCAGTCGTGGAGAGGCCATAAAAGCGGCTCTTCCCCGTTTTATGCGCATTTCTGTGTGAGGTGTGCCAGAAAACTTGCAGTCTAGGATCACTCCAAGGTGCTCTGATCGATTCTTTTTTATTAGAATCTGGCCATCGAGGTGCAACGTAGGTAGTTCGGATAGGGTCATTTTACCGGAGCCGGATCATTTTACTCGGAGCCGGAGCCGGAGCCGGAGCCGCCATGACATTTCACCCAGAGCCGGAGCCGGAGCCGATTTTTATCTCCGGAGCCGGAGCCGGAGCCGGAGCCGTCTGAAATTTCCACGGCTCCGCATCCCTGCTTCCAATAATGGAAGGCTTCTAAAAATGGAAGATTTGACCACAGTTTCCCCGACTGATACCAGAAACAGCGAAAGATATTCGTATTTTTCTTCGGTTTGCGAACTATTATCGCAGACACATTCCAAAACTGGCTGAATTTTGGACTCATTAATTCATTTGACATTAATTCCTTTAATGACTGCAAGTTGTTGTATGATGTATGTTGTATGGGGCATTGTTTCATGTTTGGCATATTTTGATCCGACTCTTTTTCTTTCGCAGTCCTTGAGTTCTGTTACCCATCTGGGAGTGGCCACTATCTGACTCCCCGAGCATCGACCACGGAGAAACGCCGATACGCATCACGGTCTGAAAAAGCTGGCTGACCATAGTCATGATGGGACTGGATGCTCATCGCCAACCCATCTGACTGTCTCAGTCGCTCTGCATCTGGTCCACACATCTCGCACACTGCAACTGCGGACGCCATCACCGACTGCAACGGCTGCAACTACAACCAGCAGGTGGCCTAGGTCCAAAGCCAACGCCTGGCTGACCCACATGGCAGCCTGCCGTCGCTACTATCTTCATCTGCTCATCGTGCTTCGCTGTTCTCCGTCCGTTCGTCCGTCACTCTCGTCGCCCGTGCCAGCCGCCATTACCATGGCTGAGCACAACTCGTCGCCCGCCGTTGTCGATGAACAACAGGCTACCAGCACCCTCGCTAACAACACCAAGTTCTGGTATGCTGACGTCTTTTGGAATCTGCATGCTGTGCGGCGGCAGCCAACGCCCCGTGAACGGTAAAGGCCTTACCGTCACGGCGCACCATGGTCGCTGCCCCTTCACAACCAGCTCAGACGTCAGCACCCAAGAAACAGAGGTGTGGCTGGTCCCACGCATCAACAACGGCATAACATCGCGCTGACGATAACAGTGACGACTACAATGACGAAACAACCAAATCGGAGAGCAGTTACAACAGCAGCAGCGAGTAGCGGCGACATCAGCAGTCGTACCCGGCGTTCCATGCGCGGTGTCAAACGTGGATCTATGCAGTTAAGGATCGTGATTGCTTACAGGGTTGGGCAGATAAATTGGGACAAATTTTAACTTCCTCTAAAACGACTAGTTTTTTAGTGATAAAGATAATTTTTGAACATATGTAAATAAAGGCTAATGAATACTTTTCCATATTACGCAGGTTGCGTTGTAATTTTGAGCCGGCTGGTCACAGAACGTGGGCTTAAGCAAGCCACTATCAACTTAGTCCGCGCGCACATGCATGCCAATACTCTAATTATGCTCCATCAAATGGCTGAAAGTAGTGTGTATCGAACAGACGTAAACGTTGGAGGAAGAGATGATATTGACTCATCCTTACATACCTATTGCATTGACACCGGCCGCTCCCCCGGTTTTCCAGGGGGGCTAAAAGGCAAAATTCAGTTAAATCAGAGGATCCTCGCGAAAACAGTGGCGCGAGCTTACAACGAAGGTAGCCGCGCCATGAGAAAACTATATACCAGCACCTCAAACATGTACTCTTATGCATTGATGCATATCAACCTGTTAACATAGATGTTGAAGCAGCTTTGACGTTAAAAAGACTGTTTCCTCTTGAAGGGCTTGGAGAAGCGAGCAAGCACGTGCAGGTCTTTTTCGACGATGGTATCCCCATAACCGAACATATGAACAACCGCAAACACCATGTGTAACATCGCAACCAGCCCAGAAGGCGTGATCTTAGTTCCAAAAAGCATGCAGCAGACATCGGTGATGGCATTCCAATCGGTGACTTCTGACGGTCACGTGGGGCCCCCTCATTTTACGGAATCGGGAGGGGGCTCGCCATTACAGGCTACCCAACCATTATTCCGGCAGTTCGAATCAACAAGATGGTAGAAGGCAACATCCTGCATGGAGTGATGGTCTTCGAGGAGTCAGCTCCCCGGCATACAGTAAATTAAATACAAAATCTCCTGAAACGGAGGATCCCGCAAACTGTACCCAAGGGAAAATGCCCCCTTCCTCATCAATCCTAAGCCCACACAAGTTCTGGTTGCTGGGGCGTTTTTGCGGGTGAGTCTAATGAACGTACCCATGTGACCGCGGTGAGCCTCAGCAGTGCCAGTTGGCTACAATTACGAGCCATTTCAGACGGGAGATCTCGCCGCGCGTGCGGCTAGTCCAGGCACCGATAAGGACTGATGCAGGTGGACCACGGTGACCATATTTGGTGATAAATGTGTAAAATTGGTGTAACAATATGTGATCCAAATTTGAAATGCCTATGTTTACAAATTTCTAAGCTACGGCGTTTTGAATGCAAATATGTATTTTGTCCCAATTTATCTGCCCAACCCTGTTGGTCGCCTCCTTTTGTCGGCTTGTTGGGGGAAGAAAGATATATGGAGAAGGAAATCATGCCTCCCACTCCCGATGGAGGCCCCAAATGTCTGACCCCATTTTTGTCTCTGTCTGGGTGTCTGGGGCGCATAGCGACACGGGACCGCCGGCTCGCTGGCCGGCTGCCCGTCCGGTCACGTGCTTGCGTCCCGACACCCACCATAAAACCATGTCTTTCGTAAATACACTCTCTCACTTCTCCTCTACTGACTGTACCGCCAACACTACCAGCGGACCACGGCTCCGACGAGGGCGGCCGAAATGGCCGGCCCACACAGGCCTCACCATCCCACCTCCGTGTAACAGGCCTCACCCTCCCACCTCCGTGTAACAGCCCTCCCCCTCCCACCTCTGGGTGACAGCCCTCCCCTCCCACCTCTGGGTGACAGCCCTCCCCCTCCCACCTCCGTGTAACAGCCTTCCCCCTCCCACCTCCGTGTGACAGCCCTCCCCCTTCCACCTCTGGGTGACAGCCCTCCCCTTCCACCTCTGTGTAACAGCACTCCCCCTTCCACCTCTGGGTGACAGCCCTAAACCACCCCTGGGTGACAGCCGTAACCCACCCCTGGATGACAGCCCTAACCAACCTCTGTGTGTTTCTTGGCCATGTTGTCGAGCCAGGTGAGCCGCAGGTCCGGCGAGTTCTGGTAGCCCTTGGCGATGCGATACATCAGGTCAAGCAGCATCTCGTGATCCTCTTGGAACTCCTTCATTTTTACTGTGTCTGAGAGGATCATGTGCAGGTTGAACACCAGGTCCGACACCTGTCAACAGCCCGGACGGCGTCACGACACCCGTCACAGACAGCCCCAACAGTTACACGACACCCGTCACAGACAGCCCCAACAGTTACACGACGCCCGTCACAGACAGCCCCAACAGTTACACGACACCCGTCACAGACAGCCCCAACAGTTACACGGCACCCGTCACAGACAGCCCCAACAGTTACACGACACCCGTCACAGACAGCCCCAACAGTTACACGACACCCGTCACAGACAGCCCCAACAGTTACACGGCACCCGTCACAGACAGCCCCAACAGTTACACGACACCCGTCACAGACAGCCCCAACAGTTACACGACACCCGTCACAGAGAGCCCCAACAGTTACACGGCACCCGTCACAGACAGCCCCAACAGTTACACGACACCCGTCACAGACAGCCCGGACGGCGTCACGGCACCCGTCACAGACAGCCCGGACGGCGTCACGACACCCGTCACAGACAGCCCGGACGGCGTCACGACACCCGTCACAGACAGCCCCAACAGTTACACGGCACCCGTCACAGACAGCCCCAACAGTTACACGACACCCGTCACAGACAGCCCCAGCAGTTACACGACACCCGTCACAGACAGCCCCAACAGTTACACGACACCCGTCACAGACAGCCCCAACAGTTACACGGCACCCGTCACAGACAGCCCCAACAGTTACACGACACCCGTCACAGACAGCCCCAGCAGTTACACGACACCCGTCACAGACAGCCCCAACAGTTACACGACACCCGTCACAGACAGCCCGGACGGCGTCACGGCACCCGTCACAGACAGCCCGGACGGCGTCACGACACCCGTCACAGACAGCCCGGACGGCGTCACGACACCCGTCACAGACAGCCCCAACAGTTACACGGCACCCGTCACAGACAGCCCCAACAGTTACACGGCACCCGTCACAGACAGCCCCAACAGTTACACGACACCCGTCACAGACAGCCCCAACAGTTACACGACACCCGTCACAGAGAGCCCCAACAGTTACACGGCACCCGTCACAGACAGCCCCAACAGTTACACGACACCCGTCACAGACAGCCCCAACAGTTACACGACACCCGTCACAGAGAGCCCCAACAGTTACACGGCACCCGTCACAGACAGCCCGAACAGTTACACGGTACCCGTCACAGACAGCCCCAACAGTTACACGGCACCCGTCACAGACAGCCCCAACAGTTACACGACACCCGTCACAGACAGCCCGGACGGCGTCACGGCACCCGTCACAGACAGCCCGGACGGCGTCACGACACCCGTCACAGACAGCCCGGACGGCGTCACGACACCCGTCACAGACAGCCCCAACAGTTACACGGCACCCGTCACAGACAGCCCCAACAGTTACACGACACCCGTCACAGACAGCCCCAGCAGTTACACGACACCCGTCACAGACAGCCCCAACAGTTACACGACACCCGTCACAGACAGCCCCAACAGTTACACGGCACCCGTCACAGACAGCCCCAACAGTTACACGACACCCGTCACAGACAGCCCCAGCAGTTACACGACACCCGTCACAGACAGCCCCAACAGTTACACGACACCCGTCACAGACAGCCCGGACGGCGTCACGGCACCCGTCACAGACAGCCCGGACGGCGTCACGACACCCGTCACAGACAGCCCGGACGGCGTCACGACACCCGTCACAGACAGCCCCAACAGTTACACGGCACCCGTCACAGACAGCCCCAACAGTTACACGGCACCCGTCACAGACAGCCCCAACAGTTACACGACACCCGTCACAGACAGCCCCAACAGTTACACGACACCCGTCACAGAGAGCCCCAACAGTTACACGGCACCCGTCACAGACAGCCCCAACAGTTACACGACACCCGTCACAGACAGCCCCAACAGTTACACGACACCCGTCACAGAGAGCCCCAACAGTTACACGGCACCCGTCACAGACAGCCCGAACAGTTACACGGTACCCGTCACAGACAGCCCCAACAGTTACACGGCACCCGTCACAGACAGCCCGAACAGTTACACGGCACCCGTCACAGACAGCCCCAACAGTTACACGACACCCGTCACAGACAGCCCCAACAGTTACACGACACCCGTCACAGACAGCCCGGACGGCGTCACGACACCCGTCACAGACAGCCCGGACGGCGTCACGACACCCGTCACAGACAGCCCCAACAGTTACACGGCACCCGTCACAGACAGCCCGGACGGCGTCACGACACCCGTCACAGACAGCCCGGACGGCGTCACGACACCCGTCACAGACAGCCCGGACGGCGTCACGACACCCGTCACAGACAGCCCGGACGGCGTCACGACACCCGTCACAGACAGCCCCAACAGTTACACGGCACCCGTCACAGACAGCCCCAACAGTTACACGACACCCGTCACAGACAGCCCGGACGGCGTCACGACACCCGTCACAGACAGCCCGGACGGCGTCACGACACCCGTCACAGACAGCCCCAACAGTTACACGGCACCCGTCACAGACAGCCCGGACGGCGTCACGACACCCGTCACAGACAGCCCGGACGGCGTCACGACACCCGTCACAGACAGCCCGGACGGCGTCACGACACCCGTCACAGACAGCCCGGACGGCGTCACGACACCCGTCACAGACAGCCCCAGCAGTTACACGGCACCCGTCACAGACAGCCCGAACAGTTACACGGCACCCGTCACAGACAGCCCCAGCAGTTACACGGCACCCGTCACAGACAGCCCCAACAGTTACACGACACCTGTCAACAGCCCGAACGGCATCACGGCAACCGGTCACAGACAGCCCGGACGGCGTCACGGCACCCGTCACAGACAGCCCGGACGGCGTCACGGCACCTGTCACAGACAGCCCCAGCAGTTACATGACACCCGTCACAGACAGCCCCAACAGTTACACGACACTCGTCACAGACAGCCCGAACAGTTACACGGTACCCGTCACAGACAGCCCACCTGTCCGGGGAAGGTAGTCTCGGCCAGCTCGAGGTCGCTCTCGGCGTACTCGAGGATGGTTTTCAGAGAGCGGCGCAGGAAGCCCTCGCTGAAGTTGTGACTGGTGCCGACCAGCGAGCTGAGCGACATGGTCACCTGCATCTTGACACGGGCAAAGTTCTGCGAACGGCGGCGGCAGCGTCCGTCGGACGGCGGCGCAGCACACAACAGTCAGGCGACAAGACAATGCATAACTAACTGGGGCGTTCCACGACAGGTCGACCGAAAAAAAAAATCGCGAAAAAAAACACCTTACCTCTCGCATTCGATTGCATATCTCGGAATTTTGATATCCATGGTGTGTCTGAAGTGGAAATAGCCGCATGGCTTTACTTCTCCAGCCTTGCCAATAGATGGCAGTACCGCAATATGGGCGACGGATCGTGCAATTCACGTCAAATTTTCGGTACTTGCTAAGAATTGAATGGCGGATCTTGTCATGCAAGAATCAAGTAAATCGGTCCGCAACTTTTCTAACAACAGGGGTACAAAGTCAAATACCCTGCCAGAGCGGCGGCGCGGCGGCCGGCGCACAGTGGGCGTTTCAGGGGTTCTAGCCTCTCACAACCTTTCAACCCTTATAGCCTGGGATCTAGGAGACCTACGCCTACGAATTACACACCAAACTGTAGCGAATTCATTAAAGAACGTGAATGCATGACGTTTCCCATGTTATAAGCTTTCGCAATGTGCAGGAACTGCATGAAATGTTGCATAAACGTGGCAAAACGGAGCACTTCCATTCCCCCTTGCCGTTTGGCCCCTGATCAAGCTAGAGCTTCGCAGAAAAACGAGCGTGCTGCCCGTGATGACAGGAAGCCGATGATACCCAATTTTAAAATCCTAGGTCATTGGTTGACCTTCCAGGTCAGGTCAATTACCCAAAAGTCGGGAAAATTGGAACCTGTTAAAACATCGTAAAGTGAGGTTGCTTAGGGGCTTTTCGGGGTGCTGATCACGAATATCATGTTAGTTTTGATCACAGACGATGTCTTCATGCATTTAGGCCAGGTCGGGCCAGGTCAGGTCAGGTCAACCAGCAAGGGTTTTGCCGGGTATTCATAGTAGGTGTCAACCGCTACTCACAGCCTCGTAACATGATATGAAGGCACCAAAACTACTTCGTAAATGCTTAAATGGTTGCTAAATTCGAAATCAGCTCCGAAAAACTAGCCTAGAAACATGTAAAACTCGAAAAAGTGAACCGAGGTCACCAAAGGTCAATGACCTGACCTGACTTTCAGGTGACCTTGACACCCAGCATAATGCATGGGACCAACATCATTTCACATGGTTGAACGTTTGAAACCACAAAAAGACTGCAAACGCGCGGATAATGTAAACCGACATACGCCGAATCGCGATTCCGGCCAGACATGTTCTGAGAACATAAAATCTGTTAATCCCAGCTTAACAGCATCGTGGAAAAATGGCAACACCCTCGCCAAATGCCTGGTACAGCCCACCGCTAAAGTAATGTAGGGTTTTACCAATCTCAACGGTTGGCTTTGACTGGCGATTGTTTAATGCGGAGTGATCGAAAAGAAGATGTCAATAGCTAAAGTTGCAGCTGCAAGGGTGACGATACATATAAGCTACATTCAAAGTTTCATTGTAGTCTGGCTAATCGTTCCTAAGCTTCAGAAGCAGAACATACCCATGACTGAAACCGCACATTACTTCTGCTGTGGACTGTACATCCGGCTTTAGAGCCCCCACCCTGTCGCGCAGGGAAACAGTTCTGCCGTACGTGTAACAATGGACTACATGGGCGATGCACAGCGAAAAATGTCGTCTATAAGATCACATGTATGATGTGCGCAGCTGCCGACGGGCCTCCTCAGACATACATTGGAGAAACAAAGCGCTGTGTCAGATACAGGTTCGATGAGCATTTTAGAGACGGCACCAATCGCACGAGGCAGACTCCCTTTGGAGAACATATGAGGGAGAGCCATCCGAATGAGTCAGAGCCTCGGCTATCTGTCACCATTCTTCGCAGATGCAAAGACGCAGCTGACCGGAAGATAGCCGAGGCTCAGGCTATCCGAGATAAGCAGCCCTCTCTGAATGGCCAGATCGACACATGGCCACTGCTCCACTGAACTTTTGTGAGCCATCGATCGATGTGTTTGTACATGTTGCGCGTATGTAATGTATTCGTCGTGATGTTTTGATACATTTGAGTACGAGGCAGGGGTGTAATTTTCCCAAAATGATTGTGGGTGCTCAGCTGTAGGGGCGCCAGGCCGCTTAGGGGACGAAGGGGCGCCAGAAGGCTACAAGGGCGCCGTGAGACCATGACAAGGGCGCCATTCTCCCAGAAGGGCGCCAAGTGATTAAAAACGCTTTATGATCCAGGGGCGCAGAGACGTCAGAAGGGCGCCGCACAGTCAGCAATGGTAAGTTGGTGGGGACGTAGGGGCGCCAGACGGTTACGAGGGCGCCACGAGACCATGAAAAGGGGGCGCCATTCTCATAGAAAGGCGCCCGAGTGATTGAAAACGCTATGTGGTCCAGGGGCGCTGAGAGGCCAGAAGGGCGCCGAACAGTCGAGGGATGCACGGTGGACAGAGACTTAACCCGCGAGTTGCTGGGGAGGGGGGGGGGGCGTTAAATCACATCATCATGCATGAATTTGCATTTGTTCATGTCTACCTTGCTCAATTCAGCTTAGTATTATGCCCATTTGGCCGCGCTCAGATGTATTATTATTGTATTATTATTATGCGCCGGAAATGTCAGAGGCTGCACAGGCATCGGCTCGGGTGGAGTGGGGGTAGCGCCCGGTGGGGCAGGGTAACCTTTGACCGGTCGCGCGGCCGAGCAGCTGTCACCAGTACAGTCTCTGACAGTGAAACCCCGCTAACTTCCCCTGTGCGGGCAATGAGCGCAGCTGGATGGAACAAAACATGCATAAGAAAAATGTAAATTTAAGCATGTTGTAAATCTAGCAGAACAATGATTTTTCTTCACAGGTATCCTGTATAACTTTAATAGCGATGCGGACAGTTAAACTAACAAATATGATGATATTTGTTTAGTAGAACGAGAGCCGAACGTTATTTCCGTGGGCGGTCAGGCGGGCCGAGAGCGCCGGGTCTGCGAGTTGATAAGGGTCATTTCACGCTTCTGCGTGTCTGATTTTGGTCCATCGTGACACTGAGCTGTGTGATTGCGCCTTATTGTCGGCTGTGGGAGACGCATATTAGCCCTCGCCCCGCTGAGGGGGGGGGGCAATTTGCCCCCTGTGGTTTTTCCTGACTAGCAAGAAAACGCCAAATTTTCAGTTCCTTTCCGGGCATCAATTTGACACCTTCACACAAGATTTCAAGTATTAGGTCCCCTTAGGTCAGGAGTTATTGAGGTCCAACTGAGGTCATGTTCGAGCAAAAATGAGCAAAAAATATGAAATCTTAAAACGCTCACAAAATCTAGTAACCAAGCAATTTCAAAGTTCTTTATATGGTTATGTAGACAAAAGGCGGCACTACAAAATTGTCATCTCGGATTTTCAAAATTTTGGGTTTTTGACCCCCAAAAATTCAAAAAATTGATGTTTTTAGAAAAAAACAAAAAATCCCAAAAAATTCCCGAATTTCGAAAAAACGGAATATATGTGATAGTCCCTGCGCTCTTCTATATACATACCAAATTTCAGATCGATACCTCCTTTTTGGTCAAGTTAACGTTCAAAATTGATGACGTCAAATTTTGAACTCAATTTGTAGCATGTATTCACATCGTGCAATCGGTCCATGAACACATGGCTATTATGATTGACATGTCATAAAAACGGAACATCGGGATTCAGTTGCACAACTAACACACACACTCACGCACACACACTCAGCTCACATCACATTTGTACATCGCGCTACTCGTTTTGTTGTTTTGCCAGAAGATGTTTGCGGAGTTTTAGCCTGAACTCTCGCGTTCCCATGTTGTGGAAACTCGGCGGCAATTCATTGTAGCCCGTGACGGCAGAAAACAGAAATCGTCGGCGTCCCGATTCCGTCCGTATTACAGGTCTCTCCAGCATGTCAGCCTATCTGGTCACACGGCGGTGAATGTTACCCCGGGTCACGAGGCTACTGTACAGGGTTTCAGGCTGGCAAGCTGACAAAATCTGTTTTAACATGGTCAGAGAGTGGTAGAGGTGCAGATTTTTTGCTGACAGCCACTTCAGCGTTCTCAACACGTCACTGATGTGGTCGTATTTGCGGCGGCCTGAAATAACGAGTGCGCCGAAGTTGAGCAGTTTCTGCAGTCTCGCCATTTGTGTGGTGCCGCACACACCATATACACTAATACAGTAGCGCACCGATGAGACGACGAGTGCCTGTACAATGGTAGCGAGCGTATCCGGTGGAAGCGCGTGCCTACTGTGGCTAAGTCCGCTTAGTAAGCCGGTGCATCGTCTCACAACGTCGTCCACAGGTGCCGAAAAAGTCATATTTCTATCGAAAACTACGCCAAGGTTTTTGACAGTGACGGAACCGGTAATCGTAGCCCCCATAAACTGAACCCGTGTCGGAGGCATCGAGCGGAGATTTTGACCTGTTCCGATGACGAGCAGCTGTGTTTTGTTAGCGTTAACCTTCAGTCCATTTTTACGAAACCATAATGACAACACTTCCAGGTTCCTCTCTAGTCTAGGGACCAGTTCACCGTCACTGGGCCTACCAAACACTGCCATTTGCACGTCGTCAGCATACTGCACGAGACAGCGGTCGTGGGCAATATCTGCATCGAGGTACAGCGGCATGTCCGCTGCGTAGACAGCGTACAGCAAAGGACCCAGCGCAGATCCTTGATACGTGCCTATCGGGTTCAGTAGAGGCCTCGAGAGCGTACGACCCCCATCCGGTGTGCTTATGAGGACCTGTTGATAGTGTCCCGACAGATAGCTCTCGAACCAGCGCACATCGACATTATACTGCATGAGTTTAGTGAGCAGCCGGTCATGTGGAATCACGTCAAAACATTTAGACATGTCTAGCAAACACAATAGCGCCACCTGTCGGTTGTCCATAGCCTCGAATATACGGTCGGTCATGGTCAGCAGCGCTGTGTCGGTAGAGTGACCGCTTCTGAAACCGTGCTGGCAGGGTGGGAGTAGGTGGTGAGTCGAGAAGTATTCGAACAGTTGTTCGTATACTACTCGTTCCGTTATCTTGGATATAGTTGGGAGGATCGAAATGGGTCGATAGTTGGATGTTTCAGTGGACTTTGGTGACTTTTGGATGGGATGAATATAGGTAGGTTTCCAGGATAGGGGTACAGTGTGGGAAGCCAGACTGGAGTTCACAATATGTGTGATGACGTGATATATATATATATATATATATATATATATATATATATATATATATATATATATATATATATATATATATATATATATATATATATATATATATGTATATATATATATATACGGCAGACAGAGCTTAACGAACCGCACGCATAGACCGTCGGCACCGCACGCCGAGCTACCGTTCATTTGCGCCACGGTCGCCACCAAACTCTCAGGTGTCCCCGTGCGCACCACAAACCGGCCGGTAGACACGCGCGCCAGGCGCACCGGCAGCTCCGGACCCGATGTATCCACCTGGCGGGCGGTCACGGTTCCGACACTGGCGAAGTATCGGTTCATGGTGTCAGCATCAGCGCCGGGCGCCGGTCTGGTCGGCTGTTTGGCTGAAATGACAGGTCGTATGGTGCGCCACATCGAGCTCCGTCCGCTGGCCAGGATGCGCCGATGTATTTCCTCGCTGGTGTCCCGGCGTATGGCTGCTCTCACGCGGCGGTTCAGCTCCTTGTAGAGGGGCCGGTCACCGCTACGGAGAGCCGCCCGTCTCCGCGCCATGAGCTCCTTTGTGGCCTCGGTGACGGGGGGAGCGGTCGGGTTACGAGTCTTGAACCGTTTAGCGGGGGCGAGATTGTCAATAATCGGTAAGGCCGCCTTCACAAAGTAGTCCCACTGAGCCTCCGGCGCGGTACTCTCGAACACCGGAGACCAGTCTACACACTGCAGCAGCCGGCCGGCCTCTGCCACGTCCAGTTTACGCCAGCACCGGGCCGTCGAGCTACAGCGCGCCGGTCAGTAATCTGGCACCGTCACAAGCACCCGTGACCACCGATGTGGGCTAAAGTCACAGTGGAGCGATCCAGAGCGCACTACCTCACTGTTACTGCATATCACGTCGATTGTCGATCCCGACGGTTCGTAGGTGGGGCCGCGAATGTGTTGCTGCAGGGAATACGTGAAGAGCAGCTCCCGCATCCTGTTGGCCGCAGTGCTGTTGTTGCCGTCGGACATATTGATGTTGACGTCACCGGTCAGGAAGATGAGTCCACTGTGCCTGGTCAGGATGTATTGCACCTGCCGTTCTAGCTCATCTAAGTCAGATGTCACACGAGCGGACGTCTGCACTGGTGGCCTGTACAGCGAGCACAACATCACCAACCGTTTTCCCGTGCGGACTTGGACCCAAAGAGTCTCTATTTTGGATCCCTCGCTCTGTTCACCGGGACAGTCAATAACGGTCACCTCCAAAGCATCGCGTATTAGCACCGCGACGCCCCCGTATCCTCGACCGTCCGGCCTGTCTTTCCGAATAAGCTGGTATCCGGGGACGGGAACCAAGCGATTAGGTGTGGCTGGCTTAAGCCACGTTTCACTTATCGAGATAATGTCGAATCTATGTTGATCGATGTCCTGGCGCAGCTCAAGCAGGTGTGGCTTGAGGGACTGCACGTTGATCGCAATTAATAGCAATTCTAGACCATGTAGCGCAAAACAAAGACCACCATGGAACTCCCCGTGACGAGCTGCATTGAATCGATACCCATTTTATGCAAAAATATCATCTTTGAAATTTGACCTAATTTGACCTGACCTTGACCTGACCTTCACCAGAACATAATCTTAACTGACCCCAAAGGCTGCCTGACCCACATAATCGTATTTGGCATATAAAATGGACC